CAGGAGACCTTCCTAATGTCATTTAATGTCTTATAATTTTCATTTATGGTTAGTGTTATTTGTGTCTTGTTGAAGGAAAACTTTTCTGTCCTGAGTATGCAAATGTTTTTCATGGTTGAGGGTTATGTATAGCTGGGTTAGGGTGCTTGTCTTTCCACAGAATGCAAACTTTGAACCCCCCACACCTCTGAGAACAACCTTGGGTCATACTAAAAAGTAATTTGCTTTTCCTTTTCATATTTATGTTTTTAATTCACAGAGAGGTGCTATTTATGATATAGGGTTCAAAATCCATTTCTTCCAAACTAGACACCCAATTGTTCCATTCATTAGAAGTTTCAGCATTCCCTTACTGGTCTAGAATCTTTTCTTGATCACTGATTCTATGTCTACATATGAGTGTTATCTGTGACCACCTATTTACTTAGGCTTGAAACACTATTGCACTACCTAGATTGCTGGACTTATTCGTCTCATTGCATACACATTTAAAAATTAATTTGTCACAATCTGAAGACAACCACATACTGTAATTGGGTTTACATTGAGCTACAAAATAGTTCAGAGCAGCAATTCTCAACCTGTGGATCCAACAACCCTTTCACAGGGGTCACATATCAGCTATCCTGTATGTCAGATTACATTATAATTCATAACAGTAGCAAAATTACAGTTATGAAGTAACAACAAATTTATCTTACGGTTGGGTTCCCCAAAACACAAGGAACTTAATAAAGAGGTGCAGCATTAGGAAGATTGAGATGCTCTGGTTTACAGGGTCCTGACAGCTTTATGACCGACTCTTCCAAGGAACGTGTCTTTAAAATTCTTCAATCATGTTTTGTGTTTTTTTTCCAAAAAGATATTGCCCTTGGTTGTTAATTTCTAAGTTGTTTATAAATTATTTATTAAAATTTTCTTTGTTGCCTGAATATAAAAACATATTTTGTGGTGCTTGTGATGGGACCAGGGTCTCACACCTGTTAAGCATTCTACCACTGAACTACAGTTCCAACCCAGGCCAAAACGACTTTTAAATATAGCTTTTTTGTGTTCAGAAATTTTTCTAAATTAATCATCCTAAACTTTTCCATAGATTATTTTGCCTTTTCTGCATGCATAATGGTATAACCTACGAATAATGATAATTTTATTCCTTGTTTCCAATGTTTAAATGTTTTCTTCTTCATAAATTTTTATTACATTTATTTATGGTGGGATATGTGTCACAGCATATTCGTGGAAATCTCTCGTAGACTCCAGGGACTGAACTCAGGTCATCAGGCTTAGTAGCAAGTACTTTTAACAGCTGAACCACCTCACTGGCCCCTAAACGATTTTTTTCCTGTCTTGTTATGCTGGACCTTGAGTACAATGTTGACTATGAATGATAGCAGAAGCCTTACTTCAGTTCCAGTGTCAGCTTCTATTGAACTCTTCAGTCTAAGCATGCAGTTCATTGAAAATCTTTCTAGATAAGCTTGCTGCCAAGAAAATTCATTTGGCTGGTTTGCTAAGATTTGGAAAAATCAGAAGTGAATGTTGAATCTCACTCTCTAAATATTGACACAATTGCAACTTTTATTTTCTTATTTTGTGTATAGGTATTTTGCCTGCAGGTGTGTCCAGCAAAGACCAGAACTAGTATTTACAGATAGTTGTGGGCCACCAGATGCAAGGTCGGAATTGAACCCAGGTCCTCTGCAAAAGTACCAAGTGCTCTTAACTGCTGAGCCATTTCTCTAGATCCTGTAGTTTTTCTCCTTTAATATGCTAATGAGGGTATTTGTGCTATTTCAAATATTAAAACACATGACACATTAGAAATAAATCCAACTTGATCTTCCTTTTTTTCCCCACGTTTTTTGAGACAGGGTTTGGCTATATAGCCAAAACTGATCTTCAACACATTCTGTAGCAGATGCTAGCCTCGGTTGCAATCCTCCTGCTTCAGCCTTCAGAAAGCTGGGAGATGAGATATATATCTCAATTTGGTCATTTAAGACATTTTAAAGAATGTATTGGACTTAGCAATCTTAAAAGATTCTGATTCTATCAGCCTGGTTATCAAGATTCTATCAGCCCCATTAAATGAATTGAGTATGCACTCCTTTCCTACTCCATTGAATTGCTTTTGGGGAAGTAGAGTTATTTGTTCCTTGGGTTTTAAAATAATAAAGACATCTGGACCCAGAGTTTCTGTATAGGAAAACTTCTGTTTCTTCAATGATTATAAAACTACTTAAAATGTTCTGCTCCTTTTGGGAACACATTTCCTAAGTTATACATTGAGCTGGTAGTTGGTGGTGCACACCTTTAATCCCAGCACTCAGGAGACAAAGGCAATCTGATCTCTGTGAGTTTGAGGCCAGCCTGGTCTACACTGAGAGTTCCAGGACAAGCTCCAAAGCTACACAAAGAAATCCTATCTTGAAAAATAAAAAGTTCTATATTGATAACAGGGTTTTTTTTTTTTTTCAAACAATTTGGCATAAGGAACCCTTTCAAACAATTATATAATTTTCAAATCAAAACTAGGCAGAAAGGAGGCTGAAGCAGAAGGATGGAAGATCAAGACCAGCCTGGGACTACAAAGCAAAAGCCTGTCTCAAAAATAAATAAATAACATCAATAGAAATCCATAGATAACTGGACTGTGCTGGCTGTTCTTATGCCAATGTAACACACAAACTAGAGTCATCTGAAAGGAGGCACCATCAATTGAGAAAATTCCTCCATGAGATCCAGCTGTAAGTCATTTTCTTAATTAGTGACTAATGTGGAAGGGCCCAGTCCATTTTGGATGGTGTCATCCCTGGGCTGGTGGTCCTGGGTTCTGTAAGAAAACAGGCTGAGTAAGCCAGGGGAAGCAAGTAGGTAAGCAGCACCCCTCCACAGCCTCTGCATCACCTGCTGCCTCCAGGAGCTGCCCTGTTGAGTTCCTGTCCTGACTTCCCCCAGTGTTGTACTATACCGTGGAAGTATAAGCTGAAATAAACCCTTTCCCCCCCCCCACAAGTTGTATGTGATCATGGCGTTTTGTCACAGCAATAAAAACCCTAAGACATAGACATTGTTACTTGAGAAGTCAAAATGCCTTCTTGAGGCCAGGCATGGTAATTAATGCTGTAAGCTCAACACCCGAGAGGTTGAAGCAGGAGGATCGTCATTCAAGACCAACTTGGGCTACAGAGAAGCTGTATAAAAATAATAATACTTGAAAATCAGGTGTGATGAATTTCTCACTGGCTGTTTTTCCCCTTCCACGCCACCAGCCTATTCCATCTGACTAGTCCTCTCATCCTCTTCATTGTCTGCTGAACTCTTCCTCACTTTGAGGAAGTCAGGCTGGGTACCAGATCCTCTAAGATTTCCAGAGTTCCCGACTAGGCTGAGCACCTAGCCTGAGCTTTCCCATCCCGTAACACTTAACACTGTTAGTGCACTGTGCTTGTTGTACTTGATGTACCTTTTGCTCTGCACCTCTCACTCCCACAGGACTGTGAGGTCCTCACTTAGTGTCCACAGAGCATAGGTACTCAGTCAACACTTGCGAAGCTAAGCCGAGACTATAGCCACAGGTCTCTGTGTTTCTTTACATACATGATTGTTCCTTCATATTTCATCCAGTGATCATTTACTGGGCAAATCAGCTTGATGGGCACTGTTCTAGAATAGTCAGTGAGAAGGGAGAAGAGTGTGGCATCCCAGAAACCAAGTGAAGAAAGGGCTGGGAACAGAGATGATCAACTGTCAAATGCTGCCGGGCGGCCATGTAAGGTGAGATCTGAGGCTTAACTGTTGCTGTAACAGCAGCAGCAATTTTTAAATTGCTAGGAAAAAAAAACAGATTGGGGCTGTTTCAGAAAGGCATGGGGTGTTGACGGAATAGAAAAGAATGGAGAAAGATCTGGGGCTTGACTGTTGCTATAACAGCAGCACCATTTTTTAAATTGCTTGGAAAAAAATACAGATTGGGGCTATTTCAAAAAGGCATAGGGTTGTTGGGGGAACAGAAAAGAATGGAGAAAGCTGCTACAATAATTCCTTTAAGAAGTTTTGTACTGTATGCTGACACTTATCTATACCCCATGCTAGGAGGCTGCATCAGCAGGACAGGGAGCTCCCAGCCAGTCTGAGACCCGGCCAAAGAAATAAATAAATCTCCAAAACCATTACCATTTTTAAAAGTTTTGCTGTAAAGGGAAGCAAATAAATATATTGTATTAGTTTTTGCTACGCCAAGAGTTTTTATTTGCATGCAATAAATGTATCTAACCTTTCTTTTAAAGCTTCTGAATTTCCTGTTTGGAGTAGAAATGCAATGTCTGTGGACAACAAATCTGATACAAATTTTTCACAGTACATTAATTCTTTTCTGGGGCCTTCCCCATTTGGGGGTTTGAGGGGTCTCCTTGCTGGTGTCAAAAGTTGTTTTTTTTTTTTCAGTAATCTCAAAACCTGTGGCTAATCCATGTCTCCATATTTACAGCTGACTGCAGCCACGTGTTTAACACAAAAACTTCATGTGGCTTCCCCTTGGCTCCCACCACAACCACCCATATACACAGACACAGGCTCCCACAGACAAAATGTGCACGACCAAAGGACCACATATATTAGGTTAGGACCACAAGGCAAAGAGATACAGATCCTCAAGAACACATTGAGGAGGCAGCAGTAGGCTTGGTCATGGCCATTTCCACTCCCACCATGGACCATGATCATTCCCCAGAATGTGACCACCCTATACACTCAGGCCCAAACAGGAGACCAGCACAGCAAGACACATCATTTCTCATAGAGCTCTATTGTGGCATATAATAATAGGTACTCTATATAAATTAAATTAAAAATAAAGCTCCAGCAGGTTGCACAGATTGGCTGTTAATAAATATATCTCTGGGTAATTGTGCCCCAAGACCAGCTCATGACCACTCTCCCTCATCCAGAGAATTATACAAAAATAAATACAGGCTTGGGGTGGGTGGGTGGGTGGGTGGGTAGGTGGGTGGGTGGGTGGGGGGCATGCCTGGTTCCATTCTAAAATTTCTCACACCATCCACCATTCGTTTTCACTCTACAAGTACTACTGCACGAAGCCTGGTGCTGACTAGAGAGCTCAGAGAAAGTCCCTCACTAACAGATCACAGATATCATCTCAACTCATTGGGGTTTCAGAGGGACTGCAAATCTTCAGACCCCAAAGAGGAGGAAATCTGCTGCCTCTATGCGAACCAGGCCAGAGAGAGGCACAGCACAAGCACCAGAAGGGACATACCACTGTTCAAAGCCACAGGGACCACAATTAGCCCAGCCAGGACACCCAGAGTCTGGGTCAAGGGTCCCCAAAGATGAGGAGACAATCCACATACACACTCTGCTGGGCCTGCAGGCATGGGAGCCCTCTCTGGGGACTCAAGGTTTGGGCTTCCACCCTCTTCATCCTGGGAGGTCACAGGAGGGTTGGCTACACTAGACAGACAGACTTCAGTCCCTGGGGGACTGAGGAGAGCAGGACCCTGCTCTGGCATAGCTGGTGCAGCTGACTCTTTATCAGAAATAGGTATCAAGCTGCCTGCCCACTCAGCAGGGACATCCATTAGGGCTTTTGCCCCAGCCTCCCCTGGGGACCTGGCCATCCCAACTATGGGCCTCTTTATGTGCAAAGAGTTGATGTCCTTGTCCAGCCCTTTCTCTGGATTCTCAGTAAACTGCCCCTGTGTTTCCAGAACCACAGGGCTGTCACATCCAGAGCCCTCAGCCCATGGGAGCCACACATCTCCCATAGCTACCACAGAGGGTGCCCCAGAGATGATTTCTGGGGGTGATTCTTTGGGGCTCTCTCCTTCAGGGCTAGAGGGGGTCATGGAGAGCTCCTCTTCGCCCTCCCCCTCATCATCAGGGTCCTCAGTGTCCTTGATGAGCTCCACACCACATCCCAGGCGCGCATAGTGCAGAGTGATCTCCTCGGCCAGGGCACTGTTCAGGGCCCTCTCAGGGCCAGGCCACTTCAAGATCAGGTCACGGTCCGTGAGTACGCCCAGGGGATGGCTGGGGGACATCCCCCCATCTGTAGAGCCCTCCCCGCCAGCCCCTGATGCTGCAGCCCTCAAGCGGCTCAGGTGAGACAGGTAGAGCTGCTCCAACTCCTGGTCAATGGTGTCTTCCCCAAGCAACTCCTCCAACCCACTCACAATCTCCAGACCCCGAGCGGGCTCATCTGCCATAGCCCCCACCGTGGGGGCCTTTCGACCCACTCCACTTTCCCATGTGGCCTCCACCTGGTGCTGACTGGGTTCCAGGAAGGGCCCAGTGGCTTTATCACTTGTATCGGGCCCTGAGGCCTGGTCCCTGGGGGGGCCACCCAGACCACGGGTAGATGGAGGAATCCTGATGGCTGGTGTCTGGAGGACCTCTGTAAAAGCCACAGGTGGACTGCTTCTGGGGATGTCACATTCTTCCAGAGGGTTGTTGGTCCCTGTAGCTTCAGAAACCTGTTTCCATTGTGTGCATGGGAAGACAAAGGGAGTAGAAGAAGAGGGGAGGGAACAAAAAGAGACAATAAGAATTGGTGACAGCCCACACCCAGTCCCTAGAGTTTCCCAGGCAAAAATATGATAAAGAACCCCCTGTAATTCTGTAACTGCCGAAGACTAGATTAAGTATATGCAGGGGAGTACAAAGAGACCTCTTTTTGCGAGTGCTAACGCTAAGTGATTCACTAGGCATTTGCACTCAGTGAATGACTGTCAGTAGCAAATGAATTCATGATGGGTATTCTCTTTTAGAAATACTTAAGTATGGGTTGATAGGGTTGCTCAGAGGGTAACAGAACTCTCTGCCAAGCATGACGACCTGAGTTTGATCCCCAGGACCCATGTGTTGGAAAGAAAAGAGCCAATTCCTACAAGTTGTGTTCTGACCTACACACACACACGCACACACACACACGCACACACACACACACACAGGAAAAAGTTTACTTCCTAATGTTCAGTCTAGTAGCAGCAGTCTTACTGAGTTCCCATCTGCATCTCTAGATGTGATTCTCTACTGAAAGGGACCAAGGCAAGCTGGAGAGATGGCTCAGCAGTTAAGAGAACTGACAGTTCTTCCAGAGGACCTGGGTTCAATTCCCACCACCCACATAGCAGCTCACAACTAACTGTCTGTAGCTCAAGTTCTAGAGGGTCTGACACTTTCACACCAATGCACATAAAATAAATAAGAAAAAAAAGGAACCAGGCTTCTTAATGAGACCACTTTCTCCAGGTTTGCAGCAAGCAAAGTAAAAGAACATGATATATTACCATAGCAAGATGTGAGATGAGGCTCACAGAGTGATTGGGAGTGCTAACAGGTAAAAAGAGACAAGAAGAAAGAAAGAAAACTACTCCTGGCCAGAGGTACTTCAATGTAAGCATCAAAATAAACAAAAGCAATGGATTCAGAAGCAACAAATACATTTCAAATTCATGAATAAATGAACGTGCAATAATTTTCTTTAAAGAAAAAGCCCAGCCAATAAAAGCAAAATGATAGAATTTAATAGAACCTAATGGGATGAGTTCTATTTAAGTCATAATGCTAGACAACATTTAACAAATACATTTAGCAAAATTAATGGTTTGTTAAATGTAATTTAATAAAACACTAAACTAAATAAGATTAATGGATTAACGAAAATAGAATAAGAGGGTCATGATCAGTGAGAAAGCCTAAGTCTGATTCCCAGGCCCCACAATAGAAGGAGAGAACACACAAACACACAAACACACACACACACACACACACACACACACACTGTACACACAGATACACAATAAATAAATAATTTAAAATTTTTAAATAGAATATAAAATGTGTTTATCCCTGAATGTAATCAGCTAAACTCTGACTGTAGGAACTCTACATGACCAAGAGGATTTAGTAAACAAACTGTAAATAAGAAACTTTGGGATGTTAAAAAGTAAAGAGACATATCAAGATGAAATACACCTCCACCCCCACTTCTAGGATAGACAAAATCAAGTCAGTTCCACCCCTAGGTCCAGTTGAGGTCACACTGGGAGCTACCTATCAGGCTATTTACACCATGGTTATAGGGACCTGCTTACCTGAAGTGTCATCTGGGGCCATGGACGGAGAGGGGTGGGGGCCACCAGGGGACCCAGTAACTCGTGAACATCAGGATGTTCTGCCAGGGAGAAAAGAAGGGCAATGTTGAAGCAAGACAGGTAGACAAGTGGCCTAACCATGCTCATCTATTAAAATAACTGGGAGTTTGCATTGGAAGCTTTTTTTGTGGCAGTCAAAGGATGGTGACCTTTTCTTTTTTATAGGAAGAAACAAGGAAGAAAGAAATGGTAAAAAGGCCACTAGAAAGGTTAGGTGACATAGCTCTTGGTAGCAGAGCATTTACCTAGCACGCATGGGCCCTGGATTCCATCCCCAGCATCATGAAGAAAATAATTAAGGTATTAAAAGAGGCTGGAGCTCTCAAAGCCTGCCAGATGCTTACCCACAAGGGTATTATCATCCATGCTCTTCATCCTCAGTTCTTCCTCAAGAGGCCTGTGGGGCAGACAAGATAGCATGTAAATCTGACACCCTGAGAGGACAGTTCTGCCACCCATGGGCACCTTCTGTGCCTCTGTGCTGACCCATCTTAACCTAACAGTTGCTATTTTCTCCTCCACTGCTTTTTAATCCCTTGATCATAAAAGTCTGACACACTCATTATAGAAATCTTGCAAAATGAAGAAAAGCATAAGAATGCAGGGGGAAAAAAAAACAATCACATATGAGCCAGAGGCAACCACTGTTACTGTTTGGAAAATTTCATTCCAGACATTCTCTGAAACCATTTAGATTCTGCAAACACGCTTTCACAGCTGGCTTTGTCCATTAAACAGTAAGAAACATCATTATAGACTTTTGCAAACAGTGAAAAACAGCAGCTTTGTGCTCCTATCAAATGGCCTTGACATTATCTATATAGCCATTCCCTTCCTACTTAAGTAGCTAGCTTGTTTCCTTTATTTTATGGTTACAAACCAAATACCAATGGGCACTTTGAGATCATTTAGTCAGGGTTTGTTCCTGCCAATCACAGAAGCCATTTTAAGGGAAAGGCCAGAAAAAAAAGAAAAAAGGAAAAAAGGAAAAAAAAAGGACTGGGGACACAGGAAGTAGAGAGGTGCAGAAGGAAGATAAATGGAGATGAATGGAAAGGGAAAGGCCAGTGTCCTCTACTCCACCCCTGCTTGGACCCTATACCAGCTTGCTAGGACCCATCACCTCCTCGTATGCAACATAGGGAGCATAGGGAAGTCAAGAGTAAGGAAGTCAAAAGTCAGATATCTGGCCTGACACAGAGCAGTGGCTAAATCGATGGGAGAAATCTATTGGTCCGATTTCTCTTCTGTCAGCCAAGTTAGATCCCTGAGTGTCATAGGCCAGATCCTATCAGGCATGGAACTTATCATGGAGCAATCAGTGTTCTTATTCTTCCATATAAGTATCAAATGTTCACAAACTAGACAAATGGAGGGAGCAATGATTACAGGAGCAGTGATGACAGGATTCAGAGACCGGAGGGGAACCAAAACAATCACAACTTTTTCTTCCTAAGAGGTAGCAGCACACTGTTGACACTTATGAAAAAAAGTTGCAACTGAGAAAATAACCAATCAAAATTATCTTCACAGAAACAATGCCACTAGCAGGCCTATGCACAGTACTCTGGTCAATGGTCTACATGAGTCACATGTACCGATTTAATAGTCATGGTGACTGCAAGGGAGGTACTTGTGAGTCCTTTGAAATGGGGGAGTTCTGCTATCTCTGTCCTGTGGATAATGAAGCGGAGGCTAGGGAGATGACTCAAGGTTACACAGGCAGGATCAAAACCCAGATTTTTAACCAACAAGCTGATGTTGGGATAAGAGACCCTGTGATTGCACCCAACCCAATCTCCAGGCCTATCTAGCACTAGAGGGAAGAACCAATGACAGACATGTGGATTCCCTTCCTCCCTTTCAGGAAGGCTGTTTTTCCACCTGCCCCTCACCCACGGATTCACCATTTCTCCAGTTCCATGGCACATATGGCTAGACTACCAGCAGACAGCAGCTACAGGAACCTGTGATTAGCACTTTGGAGGAAGGAGCTTTAACTAATAAAGGGCCTAGAATTTTTGGAATGGGTACCCAGTCTTCCTCTGTAGTCCAGGACTCAGTCATCCCACCAGAGATATTTCAGTCTGAATAGTAGAGAGCCTGGGGGCAGGTGGCTCTGGGAGCCCAACCAGAAACTTCCACTCAACACAGATGAGACCTGAGTCCTGAGCCAGTCTCCAGTGGGTCTGAAGTGCGGGCCTTTGGATCTATAGCTCTATGACTCTACCTGGCAGAGATAGCTTCCTTTGGTTTTGTTCTTGAATCATCATATTGGGATAGTCCAAGGTAAAGCCTTTCACGAACACTCCCAACTGGACGGAAAGCCAGCTTTTCCTCCTAGGGCCAGCCAGGCCCACACAAACATTCACTGTAATCTGGCTGAATTCCGACATGCATGACAACCAAGCTTCTGTTACATCATAGAACTGAATGAGAAGAGAACTTGAGCAGTAGCCAGTAACAGAAGAGATACTTCTAGGCAGGTGAAGGAACAAAATAAATTTTAAAAAAATATATCTTCAGTCACCACACCCCTCTCCACTGATGAAACCATCAAAATATTAGCTCAAACCAGTATCTGCCAAGCCAGCAGAAGCAAGCAAGTTATTTTCCCAATCTCATAGAGCTGGGAAGAAAAGCAGGAGGTGGGAGCGATCACACCTCCTCCACTGTGGGCCTTTTTTGTTACTACATTAAAGTCATTTGAAAATCTGACACATATCCTTCAAAACGGCAACCTCTCCTTCTTCCAAATGTAGAAACAAAGATTGAAGGAACTGTTGTCTACAACCATTCACTCCATACTGATAATATCCAAAAATGGTCCCACTATTGAGACACTGTCTCAAATAGTAGGCAGGGTGTGTGTGTGCGTGTGTGTGTGTGTGTGTGTGTGTGTGTGTGTGTATGAGAGAGAGAGAGAGAGAGAGAGAGAGAGAGAGAGAGAGAGAGAGAGAGAGAATGTGTAAAACTTTTGAACTAAACTGTCTTTCCTGGTAAAAATTTGGAGGTGGCTGCGACCAAATTAAAATGAGGAAAGTAAGGGAGTGAGTGTTAAGTATACACTGACTCACTCACTGATCAGTAACAGTTCTTAGAAAAACGGGGAAAGAGTAAGAACAAAACCGTACCTGCAGTGTCCCTGTTAACTTTTAAGAATAAAACCTGCCCTTTGGCACCAGTCCCACAAATGCCATGTGGCATACTCTCAAGGGCAGCGAACACACAGTGGGCCAGGACACACACTGCTAGGGTTGTCTTGGAATGCCTTATTTGGGTGCCTGTGAGCATGAGTCAAGTCCATCTTACCTAGAATAGACTACTCTACTATCCTGGGTGTGGAAATTCTTCCTGCCATTAAGACACTCAATGGCTGCTTGACCTCAGACAGTACCTGGAGAACAGGGGATGAGACCTCAGAAAGTGGTAGCAATGGCCCCAGGTCAGGCCAGCCAAGACAGAACAGAAAGATGAGTTGCCAGGGAGAAAGAATGCGCAAATCAAGGCTAACAAGCCCCAAAGAGAAATGAAAAGTAGACTCAGTCATATCACTGCCACTGTCATCATCTGGGTCCTATGTCAGCACTCCAAGTTTCAGAGAACTTTACTTGCCCAAAGTGGGTCATGTGCTGTACCCCAAAAGGAAACACAGCAGAGCCCAGCTCCCATGGAGACAACGTGATAATGCTATCTGGGGGGGGGGTAGGTGGCTTCAGAAAGTAGCCCCGACAGATACTTGGAATTCTGATTACCCTAAGTCATGTGCTTTGGGGGTGGGGTGGGTGTCAAAGGGGGGGGGAATGAGGTGAGGAGGCTATGAAAGCCATCAAGTTATATAGGACACTGTCTTGCCTTCTCCAGAAAGTGTCAGCCTCAACTTGAGCATCGTGGAGCAATTTACCACGCCTCAGGCTTCTTTTAACTGACACTTCTATGGTCACAACCCAGGGTGAGAAAACCACTCTACTACATAACCCAGCACATCCACACAAGTAAATACAGACACACTGAGAACTGAAGCAGTTGCTCTTCAAAATAATACTTACCTCTAATGCATGTCAAATGTACTGTGCTATTTCCTACACCATTTTTCAATGTTAGCTGGAAGCTAGCAAACTGATTTTGCATCTCATTAAATGGCTAGAAAATGCAATGTTGAATAATCCCAGCTCTACTGCATACCGGCTGTGTGACCTGGGACACATTACCTAACCTCTTGTGCCCCACCCAGTCTTCTCGTCTATAAAGAGACGATAGTAATCCTTCAGGGGGTTGTTGGATAGCCTGGGAAACCATGAAAAGCACCAATAAAGTGCTTATAACTGATTCCTTCTGGATTCCAGCCGAAAGAAACTGAGGCTCTGAAACGGAAAGCAACTTGTCCAGCCATGCCCAGAGGGGAGAGAGGCCCTATCAGCTAGCCTAGGACTACAGTTCCAAACGGGAGCACTAGCAGGACTGACTACACAGGCTCTGGAGCCGCTCTGCCGCTTAAGTGTGCAGCCTCCAGCCCACAGCCTCAGCCACGGTACCCTGCCAGTTTTCTACGGAACAAAGGGACTCGCTTTCACATGAACTCCTCTCTCCAGACAACTCGGATGACCCCTGACCCACCCTGTTTCAGTTCTAATTGTTCTCATTTCCCTCAGGCTGTCAACTTGGCTATCCCCCTCAGTTACAGGTATACCTAAAACCCCGGAGGCCTTGCTGTGCATCAGGATAGTGACAGGAGACACACTGGTGAGCAGACCCAACTATGGAATTTAGAATTTGATGTGGAGACACTTGAAAAAATACTCAAACTCATTATTTCAACAAATATTTATTGAGCACCCACTAAGTGCCATGCACCACAGCAGGCCTGAGAATACAGTGGTCACCAATGCAGAGCATGTCCCTACCCCTCACGGAGCTTACATTCTAGCAGTGAGTGCAGTCACCCAGTAATCCCCTGCTAAAAGGGCTCACTACGGACTGAAGCCAGAGCCTTTAGAAAAGGAAGGAGCATGCTAGAACACTAGGCCCTGACACAGACTACAGTCAGTCGGCAAGGGTTTAAAGATGCTTAGAAAACAAGCGAGGGGCATGTGTGCTCAGAACATAAGAGGCTGTGTTGGGAGCACTGTGTGGGAGACAGTTAAGCCTGAGAAAACAAAAGATTCAGTCACATGGTGACACCAAGGTTGGTAACTGCGGCTGAAAGAGCAAGGAGAAAGAAAAGGGCCAGAGATTTAAGAAAACCAGCAGAGAATGGTCTCAAGGCCAGGGACAGAGGTGACCTAAGTAGGAGTAGTCAGCCATTTCAAGAGTGAATGAAAACCCTGCTCAGCTTGGCCAAACCCTGGGACTAATAAACATGTGAGGCGAGTAGAGGAAGCCAGTGCTGGTGACTCTCCCAGGTGAAGGGGACAAGGGTGATGATCAGGTACTGACTAGAAGCAGAGGGTGAGGTAAGGTTGGGTAAAACAGAGGCTCTGGCCTGGGGATAGGTCAACAGAGAGGGTCAGGTGAGAGGGACAGGAAAAATGCCTAACAACACAGAAATGAGGCTTATGATCCCAGATTCTGGAGCAAATGGCAAAAACTGAAGCTCTGGAGCAAAGAACAGGGACAGGCCTAAAATGGGGACAATGTGAGGAGTGTCAATGTTCAGAGTTGGGGGCTCTAAGTGATAAGAAGTCCCATTGTGGTGGTTTCTATTATGTTTGAGGAAGCAAAAGGCAAAGTCTGGAGGCAGAGAATGTTTGAAAGGATCCCATGAATGCAAGGGAGGATCAAAGAACGCACAGGATTACCAGGCAGAATGGGAGATGATCCTTAACTTCGGGTAAGGCCCATGTGCTAGGCTCTGTGGCATCCTCTAACTTGACTTGCCTGTGCTGATCACTGCTATGAATAAAGATAGTGACTTAAAGAGACTAGGATGGGCAAGCTTCCCTGAGGAACTCCTTAGAACTGAGGGGTCTGCATGAGAACTTGAGGGGTACAGGACCCACATTCTTGGTGAAGCAAACAGTATGTGCAAAGACTCAAAGCAAGGGGAGTAACAGGAGGGATGTGGTGACAAGAGCTCAGGAACAGAAACCAGTATAAAGCAAGACTAGATGACAGCAGAAGCCAGACTGGAGAACAATGAGGGTGTTTAAGGGCCAGTCAGATTTTTGTTGATCTTTATTTTGAAGAGGAACAGGACACCTCCTCAGAGTATAAAGTCAAGACAGGCCAGAAGGCCTCCCTCCCATACCAGTCTTAGCACTGAGGACTCCAATGCTATTTACTCATGCAGCAGAGGGATTAAATGCAGTCTAGCTCATAGAAACCAGTCAAGAATAAGTGAGACTATACAAAAATATTCAGCAAAGTGCCTAGCAAAGAAAAGGAGCTCAGCCATGTATCACTTGATAAGGCTTCACATATGTCTTGCCACCTGGCTCTAGCACAAGCCCTCGAGTATCTTCGCACCTGTGTCTTCTTTGCTTCATCCTGGGCCTGTGCTCGGCACATTAACAGGCCCTACCAAAGAAAAATGCTTGTTGATGGATTAGCTCTCTAAACCTAATGGGTACTGAAAACCTGGACCCACAACCCAGTGACAGCAGCCACTCGAGCCTCTGGAGTATATATATCCTCAGGACTGCCAAACATCTCCCCTGACCCCACCTGACAAGGCCCAGCTGCACAGTGGGCCTGCAGCCAACATTTCTACAGCAGGCCTCCCACAGATAAGAAAAGGGTATCCCCTGAGGTCCACCACCATTTCCCCAGAGGGCTAGATCACAGGGGGTAGCTGTTCTTCAACAGCGCTCCAAATCAGCAGCAGCACACAGGCCTTACAACAATAATAAGTTGAAATGTACTTGCCAAGAAAGCCACCGACCTACAAAGAAAACCGTATTGCTGATCTTGCAGTGCACACCAGCCTCCCCTTTGCAAGAGCTGAGATCAAAAGATAAAGAAGCTATCAAAAAGCCATCTGCCCACTTAAAATAATATCTCAAGTCACGTTGGGAACCACAAACATGGGGCCAGCTACCAAAACAATTGTCTAAATGAACTACTTCAATTTCTCCTTAAAACCACCCATGTATTTTAAAAGAAAAACACCCTCTCCACCCACCTCGGCCTGGCAAGGTTTTGATTTGTCTGTTCCCCTCCTTTCATAATCTTGAAAATGACCAAACTTCAGTACCCAAACTGTCATATCTTACAGACGGGACTCCCACAACTGCCAACTGGGATGAGAAGTGATTGACATGAAGGCGATTCTGGGGGCACTGGAACCGCTCAGTCTCTTAATCCGGGTGGTAGTTATAGAAGTGCAAACATATGTGTAAATCTTCTGAGCCATGCACTCGAGATCAGTACACTCCATGTTGGTATACCTCAATAAAACATCAGGCACACATAACCATGTACAAGGGACAAGATGAAGAGCTAAGAACACCAGCAGTGAAATCCAGAATTTGTTTTTAAACTAGTGTCCCTAACATTTCCTCCCGGCTCTCACCATTCACTAGCTGAGTGACTTTAAGCAAGCTGGATCATCTCTCTGCGTTCCCCATTTCCCTGTTAACTAGGAATCAATGCAGCGCCTACATTCAGCTGGCCTTGAGAGGAGACTGCACCTACCCCTGTTACCAGAGACCAGTAAATGCTGACCACCGTACCTTTCACAGCTACAGCTGTGCCTCAGTTACCTTGCCCACAGTTGCTGCATCCAATTCGACCACACAATGTTAATGCCATTCCTCTCTGACAAATGAGGAAATGGAGACAAGACCATACAACAAAGCAGAGTTCAGGAAGGGGATACACGGATTGTATGTGAATATCTAAATATCAATGCTAATTAACACGGCTATGGCACTACTTTGAACTAAGCTAAGCACCGAATGCTTTTACTCATCCTGTGCAGTGTGTGCCATAATCACACATTTTACAGATGAGGGTGTATTTAGTTACCTGTGGCACGATGCAGTTAAGAACTGGCTAAGGTTACAACACTAGAAAGGGGCAGACCTAGGGTTTCAACCCAGGTAATCTTATGGCAGAATCCAAGTTCTTAACACTTCAGGGTCCATCAGCTAAGAGCTAAACCTTTCAGAACCATTCACAACCTAAGCCCTGAACACATCAAGCCGATCCCACAACACCCTGCTCCATCATGCAGCTTTCAATGGCCAGAAGAGCAACCTCCCATCCCCATTTCCAGTCCTCGCAGAAGGAACGTGTATGCATTTCATGGAGAATCTAACTGACCCCGGGTGTCACCTCACCTAATGACCACAAAAAGAATCAGGCTAGCTGTTGTACTTGAAAAACTTACAGCCCTGGTAAAGAAGACTTGGAAAAGCATTATTTCAGTCTCCTGGGTTATAAAAGGTTTTCTCCCAGCCCCTGAAGTTTATGGGAGGTGTGCAAAAAGAGAGAGAGAAAGAGAGAGAGACAAGAGCTTCAATTCCACTTCTCATCTGCTTCTGCCTATGCCAAAGCTAATGCTTCCAAACGAGAATATGGCCTCAGCCCCTCACCTCTACAGGCCTCAGACTACGGGAGGAACAGTAAAAAGCTTGCACAGACTTCAAGGCCAGAAATGGTTGAAACCAAAAAGCCAAGTACCACCACTTCCTCAACCAGTTTCTCTACCTCGGTAACTGACTTCCTGCTATGTCAGATAGGAATCGGATTCCACACCCCACACTGGGAGACCCTTAGTCCACACCATCACACTGCATGCTCTCTCCACGCCGGCGAACCGGTTGTCATTCATACCAAACTCAGAACCACCGCAGGATTTTTGAACTTGCTGTCCCCACTACCTACATCTTCCTTCCATATATGTCACTGCTCCATACCACTCAGGACTCCGTGCCACCTCGTTAAGAAATTCCTACCTGTTGGATTTTCTATCAATTCTCTCTTCCATGACTCTTCTTTTATCACCGTCTGGGACTCAGCACAAGAGCTCACCCTCAACACGTCTACAGCAGCCACTCCCTCTCCAGAGCCTTAACTGTTATTTTTTTTCCTCTCAGCACTAACCTTAGCCCTATTTATCTTATCTGCTTGTTTGCTTTTTTCATACTGTTTCCCACAGGAGCCTTGCGTGATGGTTGAGGGCAGGGAAGGTGTCTGTCTTGTTCAGGGCTTTACAGTGGAACTCAATAATGGATGGTACCCCAGTATTTAAAACAGTGCCTAGCACATGTTTGGCCTCCACTACTCTTTGACCAAATGCACCCTCCTGCCTGTCCTGGAGAGCAGGCCTGGGGGAGGGGGAGGGCTCCTGGAATGGGATGCTTGTCCTCCATTCTACATTCAGCCCTGCGTTGGCGGAGGTGGCGCTGGCAGACATTACCTGCGCCTCACCGGCTTCATGCAGCTCTTCAGCTGCCTGGCCTCAGCCTCCACAGGACCCTGGCACTCAGGCTGTGGCTCCAGCTGCTGCAGCTGCTGCTGCTGCTGGAGCAGCCCTTCGGCATCAGTGGGTGTGGGAGCGGGTGCAATCCGGAGCAGGACAGTGTAGTTGCGGCCATGGTTATTGGCCCAGAAAGTGCCCTCGGGGGTCTCATAGCGCACCACGAAGTCGAGGCGCGCCCCATCACCCGCGCCCTCAGCAAAGGGCAGCTGGAAGGCAAAACGGTCAGTGCGGCCACCGTCGTCGGGCGAGGAGGCTGACATCTGGCCAGGGCCCAGGCCTAGACCCGGATCCAGGAGGGGATCTCCTGCTCCTGTTCCTCCCACTCCTGCCCCAGGCGGGCTGCGTGGGACATAGCGCGCTGGGTGGTCACAGAAGGAAGCCCAGCCGTCGTGTGAGGCCCGCACGTGCACCGCCTTCTCGAAGGAGCGGTTCAGCACGCGCACCAACCCGCGCACCACCGGCGGGCGCCCCCCAGGCACCCACACCCCGGAACCCCCGGGAACCGCTCCAGGAGGCGGCAGCAGCGCCTCCAGCTCCACCATCACACGCCCCAACCGCTCCAGACGGCCCAGCGCGGGCGGCAACGAAAATGTGGGCACCAAATAAAACCCCCCGCCAGCGGGAACAGGGCACGGCGGCGAGGGATCGGGGAAAGCCTCCTCTTCCTCCTCCCCTTCATCCCCATCCTCGCCATCATCGTCCTCATCAGCCCCGCCGCCGCCGCCATCTTGCCCGGTCGCCGCCGCCATCTTGCCCGCCCCGGGCCCGCCCCACGGCCGGTAGCGGCGTAGCTGCGCCAGAGGCAGCCCCAGGGCCTCGTCAGCGAACAGCACCCTCCGCGGGGCCACCGCCGCCTCAACCGAGGCGCGGGGCTCTCCCGCAGCCGGCGACGGGGGTGCGGGGTGCCGCAGCGGTGGCTCCACAGGGGCCGTGCGCGCCATATCGGCGGCGGCGGCGGCGGCACCGACGGCACCGGCGGTGGGACCGGCGGGGGCAGGGCCTGAAAAGGCGGGCAGCCAATGGGAAGGCCAGAGCGGGGGGGTGGGGCTCCAGTGGAGCGTAGGCGGCGAGATGAAGACAGGTACAGCCAGCAGCCAATGGGCAGCCACGCGGGGTTGACGTAGGCAGTGACTGACGAGCAGGAGAAGCTTGTGGCCAATGAGGACGCCCGAGCGTGGGCGGTGTGGGAGGCGGGATGATCGCCGAATCAATGGAAAGGCCGGAGTGGGGTTAATGCGGGACCGAAGATGAAGCTAGCAGAAGTATGGCAGTTAGTGGAGAAATCTAAGCGCGAGCGGCATGGTGGACAGCGGGAAGATGGAATGGCTATGGGCGAAGGGGGCAGCGGGGAGCGAACCCAGAGGTCCAAAAAGTGGGAGATCCGCAGGTTGCGTAGGCGGTGAGACGTAAGAAAGATAAAAAGATCAGCCAATGGAGAACTGCTCGCGAATGATGTAGAGGCAGAATGACGATAATGGTTGCAACGAGCCAATGGGGAGCCTTGTGAGAGTGCACTATGGCTTCAAGGGGCGGTAACATGGTGGATCTAGCCAATACAGAGACTGATGGGAGGCTGGAAGATGTTGTGTGAGCATACTCGGAGGCGGGACTGCAAGGGGGAGGACCCCCTGGGCATGTGAGAAGTGAAGGTGGGAGCGAGAAAGACATGGGGAGCCAGAGTGAAGGCTGTGAGATCTCAAAGGCAGTGCCAGTATAGGATTAACCGATGCCTAAACTGGAGAATATAGCCAACAGAGACTTTAGAGACAAGATGGGAAAGCACAACCAAGGGTGGTGGTGTAGGTGATGTGAAAGAAAGCATAAGTGGCCAATAAGTGGGGTAGAGTGGACGTAGGTACATAGGCTGAACCACAACTTTTGAGCAGTTGAGCACAGAGTCAGAATTCAGGCAACCAAGAAAAAGAGATTAAGCCTCTGGGGAATGGATTTACCTTCTCCTTGACCTTCCATGATTCCCCATGACCCCACAAATTTCCAGAGTCCCTGAAAGCCTAGACTGTACCGTAGTGTGAGACCAAAGCAAAACAACTCTGCCATCAGTTACGGAGTGTGTCCTCTGTCCTCCCCACGACACACACACACACACACACACACACACACCTTGCAGCCTTTTTGTGAACAATCCAACTAGCCAAGAACACCCCTGATTGTGCCTGAAATTTCCCAATTGAGTGTTGATGTTCTTTGGGACCTGGCAACCCTAGAGGGGGGGGAAATCAATCACAAAATAGGAAATAGAACTTTTTGAAGGATTAGCTTTTTCTAACTTGCACTCAGCACACAACTGACCCTGACAGTGTGCAACTAGTTGTTTGAGCATTTTGACAGACTCTGGCCAATCCTGCCCATCTTGCTCATTTTGACACTTTGCGTGTCTTCCTCTCCCCAGTTTCTTTCCTCTTCTCTGTTGAGACCATCTCCCCAGAGTGCTGTCCCATCTGTTTCTTTCATCCAGTGAATTCCATTCATTCTCCCTTTGAGCCCTCACCTCCTATGGGAATGGAATAGAATCTACCAGCATGTTCGTTCACACATCACACTTTTCTTCTTACTAACTTACTTATTAAAACTTATTGTCAAAAAAAAAAAAACTTATTGTCCACCATATGCCAGGGTCAGGGGATGCTTTTTATCAGTCCTCACAATACCCCTAACAGGAAGGCCATCCTTGGTCCCTACAGTTTCTCTGCTCCTCCAGTCTGTGTCCAGGGTCATCTATAAGCAGCAGAAGAATAATGAAACGAAGAAGGTTTAAACAAGGCAGAACTTTTTTCTTTTTTTCCTCATCTGAAAGTTCAAGGTGGCAAGTACACTCAGGACTCCATCCTATCTGCCCATTATAGGTATCTACTGTGCCCTGATCTTGCCTTGGAGTCTCGTTCTTTAGCAAATTCTGTAGATTAACTATCTAAAGCATTTCCCAAGCAGGATATGGCAATTCACACCTGTAATCCCAGCACTCAAGAGGCTGAGGCGAGACCAGCCTAGGCTACAAGTGTGATCTTGTCTTTAAAAGCTCAATGGTAAATCACTTCTTAGCAAGTACATGGGCCCCATCTGTAGCACCATTTTTTTTAATCCCAAAGCCATCTTTTTCACTAGCACTCTACCAACAGGACCAGCACCAGTGCCAGTCACCTGGGCTACTGTAGTAGCCTCATCCTGCTTGGCCCCTGCCCTATATTCCTATACCCCACTCCACACTCAGCAATCTAAGGCATCTTCTTAAGTCCTGACAATGATGACCCTCCTCTGCTCCCAACACTCCCATATCTCCTTCCCCACTTAGAGGCAAAGCCAAGCCTTCCCCGTGTCGTAAGAGACACAGCATAACTAGTTCTCTCTGACCTTACCTCCTGTTCCTCTTGCTTTCGCTCACTTCACCCCAACCACACCAGACTCCCTGTTGATGCAGTCCAAATCCACTACACTCACCTCAGGCCCTTCACACTGGCCCTTCCCTCCAGTTCTGCAGATCTCTCCACGGCTCTCTCCCCCACCTATGCCAGGGAAAGATCCCTTTCCCTGGGGACTTTCCCTGTCCTACTAAATTCTACTTAAACCCCTATTCGTCTTCAACCTCCAACCCTCCAGATTCTCTTCTCCAGAGTCCTACATGAGCAGATCGAGTTAAGGTGGAGAGGAAATGCTGCCCCTGCTAACCTGACCTCCAGCCCTTATTCTGCAAAGACCCTGGCTTTCAGCTTCAGTAACAACCCTCCCACACCCAAGGCGCCACTCAAGTGGCCTCCTGGGAATCTTTGTGTCGCCACCCTCATTTACTTTTCATGCCATCTCTCTGGCCAGTCTTTTTCACAGAGTGGCAGGAATGGGGAGATGGTCACAGAGATTAAAGGAAGATGCAGACCATGGAGCCTGAGAAAAACAGCACCTATTCCAGAGAGAGACAGGTGCTAAGGTAGGGAACTAGAACTGTCTCAGGCACATAGAAGATACAAGGACTATTTGGGCCCAAGTATATGGGGAGCAGGGATCATTAACTTTGGGGCCCACCTGCAGTCAGCTGCCCAGGACTCCCCGGTAGGTATATTCTTTACCCCTCCCCTACTCCCTCCCACACACAACCACATCTGTTAAGCTCCTAGAATCCCTGCAGACCTCCAAAATAAGAAAGAGGACCTCATCCCACCTCCCTAACTCCCTCTCACCTCTGTACCTCCCTTGGCTTCCAGCCAGCACACACATAGTCCATGTTTGGTCTTAGATATGTCCCACCAACTTAGAAGCCCCAGCCAGTGAAAGTTTTGCTTTGAGCTAATGGTAGAGAGGGTGAGGTTTTTTTTAAATTGTTGTTGTTGGCTGATATTTTTAGGGTTTTTTTTTTTCTATTCACTTGTTTTCTCCTCTTGTCTTTACAAAGCCAGGCTGTCAGTTTTACTCTTGTCTTTTCTAGAAAGGTGAGTTAAGTTGAGCAAAGTTACTCTCTCTTTGTATGTGTGTTGTGGGTGGGGATGCTTAGAAAACAGGGGAGAAGGAAAAGGGGAGGAAGGAGGGAAAAGGTAAAGGGTGAGTATTGGCCAACAGATTAGCATCATGTGCATAAACTTATTTCTAACTTTCTCTTCCTCAGGCCCAAAGCCAGGCTTGCAAAGAGGTTACGGTGGGCAAGCATTTGGATACCTGGAAATCTAAGCTCTGCTGGGTCAGAGCACCAAAAGCCAGAAGCCTTGACCATGACTTGTGAGGAGAAATCTATAGAAGCTGGTCTATGTTAAGCAGTTGTTGAAGGGAGCAAGTCTGTGCCAAAGAGGAAATGCAGCTGCCAAATCTTGTATAAAAACCTTAAAAGCTCACAAGCATCATACTCCAGAAGCGTCTCCAAATCCCAGAATTTCCGTCCCTGTCACTGAATCCTAGAAATTCAAACTCGACATTGTTGGATTCAGGAAAACTGGGCACTTGAGAAGTCGGTGCTAAGGACCCCTACTTTCCATCTGTGTGACCTTGGGCAAGTTGCACCTCCATTTTCTCCACTGGGATAATAGCAATACAGTAATGATGAGATGGACCTCAGAGGGTGAGGGTTGAACCAAATTGTTTGTGAGAAATGTTCAGTTCTGTGGCTGAAAAGTGAAAAATTCTAGATAAACGTTGGCTGCCAAAATTATGGCAGTTATTTAGAAACCTAAACCTTTGCAAACTGTAGCTTTTCTTTCCTTTTGTTGTATAGGTTTTTGAGACAGAATCTGGCTACCAGGCAACCTTAAACTCTTTATCCTTCTGCCTCAGCCTCCTGGGTGCTGGGATTACTGGTGTGTGTGTTACAATGCTAGGTGAAACGGGCTTTTCAAAGTAGAATGTCATAAAGGCTGGTGGGGGGGTCCAGAATCATCAGGCTATGGTTATATTGTTCCTGATAGGATGGAAACCCTGGGCTGCCTTGTATATGGTTGGGTGTTTGTCTTAATTTTGTTTTTGTGGTGCTGAGGATGGAACCAGAAACCTTGTGCATGTTAAGCAAGCCCTGTGCCACTGAGCTGCATGCCGAGTCCTTCTTTCCCTTCCCTTTGCTGTGCTGTTGGATGCATTAGTGTGGGGCTGTTAGGGCTGTTCGCAGGTGGGTGGCTGCAGGGTCAGAGCGCTCAAGCATAAGCATCATATGGAGATCCTTTTCTCCTCACGTAGAGACTCTCAGCAGATTCTAGGAGCCAGTGATTCTGAGACTCGTTGTTTCTGTGAATTTGTGGTAGGAGTACACCCTACCTTCTTTCTCCATGAACTGCATTACATGCCTCTTGCCTTCTATGGGAAATAAGGCTACAGAGGTGTCCAGATCTCCCAACCCTTGACAGTATAAATGATGGTGATCATATTCATTCTACCTAAGGAAAAACCGAGGCCTGAAACAGGATGAGGCCCGTGGAAACCACTATTCCATCACTTTCTATGGTGTTTCCCATCCAAACGTTGGACTTCAGATCCCTTCTTCTGTTCAACTCAGTGACCCTCATACATCCTTCCAGGCATAGAATGGTGTCTCTACCTACCTTGGGATGCCTTTGTGATTTGAGTTATTTTCCCTTTTTTTCTGACTCTACACACTTCTGTTTAAGAAATTGTGGTTTCTCATGAGCCCTGTTATCTCATTGATACCTTTTACCTCTGTGGTGAGGGGAAGAAATCATATTTTCAGATGACTTGTAAAGGGCAAAGAAAAAAAACCCAAAATTTCAAAATTTCCGTTTAAGTCTCATAAGAAAAGAATAAACAAAGCGAGAGAGAGAGAGAAAAAAAACTATGAGAACCCCCCACCCTATGATTATCAGCACACACACTCATCAAAAAAATTTGGATTATTAGAAGAGAGAGGTCTGCGGCTTCCACGCCGTGGTTTTTCTTCTCGGTATAAAAGCAAAGTTGTTTTTGATAATGTGGCAGTTTCCCACAAGC